TACTTCCTGATTTAAAATCTCTCCACAAAGCTACAATAATTAAAAGAATGTGGTGCTGGGATAAAGATAGACATATAGATCAATGGAATAAAATTGAGAATACAGAAATAAACTCCCACCCACATTTATTGGTCAACTGATTTTCAACAATGGTTCCCAAACATTCCAATGGGGGGGGGAATAGTTCTTTACAATAAATAATTCCAGGACAACGGGATATCCACTTGCAAAAGAATGAAGTTAGACTGCTACCACACACCATATACAAAATCAAATCAAACTGGACCAAAATGACACCAGCAAGGTGTCAGAATAGGAAATCCCAGACCTCATTCCCCTATAAAAATACCAATTAATGACATATAGACAAAATACCTTTATGACAATTTCAGAATCCAGTTGAGAAGTTGAAGTACCCCAGGTGAGCACAAAGTGGAAACAGTTGCATTGAAACAAATAAGAAGAGTAATTTTAATTTACTCACACCAGCCCCTCCTTCAAGCTGACACAGGTCAGCAGCAGGAAAAAACACCCTGGCTTGCTACTTCACCATCAAGGGGAAAGAAAAGAGTACAGGATGTGTCCAATGTTTCAGTTTCTCAGAGGGCTGCCTGAGGGACTAGTTTCTGTATTGCCTCACTTAGAGAACTGATGGAACTGGCATAGTTTGGATGTCTGGAGACCATGCAGAAAAAAAAGAGCAGGGGGGCAGCCTGCTTCCTCAAGAAGGAGAGAGAGGAGTGAGTGTGTATCCAGCCTTTCAGGTTACTGGAGGGCTGTTCAAGTGACTGGTATCTGTCTCAGCTGACTTGGTATGTTGATAGGGAACCAGCATACTTTGGGTGCCTAGTAGCCACTGAGAACAAGGGAGAGCAGCTTGAAGCTATAGAACCAGAAAATTAAATGCTGCAGACAGACACTAGAGAGAGCAAGACAGATCATTTAAAATTATCCAGTCAAGAGGAACAACAAGAAAAAAATAGCAAAAAGGAATCATGAAAGCTTATGGGACTTATGGGATACAATTAAAAGAAACAATCATTGGTATTTCAGAAGGAGAAGAGAGCAGGCAGGAAAGGGTAGAAAACTTATTTAAATAATGACTGATAACTTCCCAAACCTGGGAAGAGATTTGGACGTCCAAGTTCATGAACCTAAGAGGTCACCCCAAAATTTCAATGCAAAACAACTTTTTCTCCAAGACAAATTATAATAAAACTGTAAAAAATTAAAGACAAAGAGAATTTTAAAAGCAAGGAGAGAAAAAAAATTGACTCATACAAAAGCACCTTTATAAAGGTAACAGTGAATCTCACAGTAGGAACATTGCAAGCCAGGAGAGAGTGGGGTGATATATTCAAAGAGCTGAAAGAAAATAACTGCTAACCAAGAATACTTTACCCTGAAAAGTTGTCCTTCAGAAATGAAGGTGAGATAAAGACTTTATCAAACAAATAAAAGCTCAGGGAGTTCATCACCATTAGATCTGCCATACAAGAAATGCTGAAAGGAGTTCTTCAAGTTGAAATGAAAGGATGTTAACTAGTAACATGAAAATAAATAATACACTGGTAAAGATGTATACAAATAATGTAATATGGTGGTGTGATAACCACTTAACTCTAGTATAGGGTTAAAGAAAAAAGTATTAAAAATAGCTATAACTAAAATAATTTGTTAATGAATATAAATATTAAAAGATGTAAATTGTAACAACAAAAGTATAAAATGAAGGGGAATAAAAGAGTAGATTTTTGTATGTGATCAAAGTTAAGTTGTTATCAGCTTAAAATAGACTGTTCTATCTATAAGATGTTTCAAGTAAGCCACGGGGTAACCACAAAACAAACAATCAAACAAAACTATAGAAGAGACACACAAGACAAAGAAAAAGGAAGTAAAATACACCACTAAGGAAAATCATCAATTCACAAAGGAAGACAGCAAGAGAGGAGGAAAAGATCAAAGGATCTATAAAAGAGCCAGAAAATAATTAACAAGATGGCAATAGTAAGACCTTACCAATCATAATTACTTTAAATGTAAAAGGATTAAATTCTCATTCAAAAGGCACAGAGTGGCTGAATAAATTAAAAAACAACAACAACAACAACAAAAAACAAGACTCAACTACATGCTGCCTCCAAGACATTGTGTATTTGAGCCTATGTGTATAGGCTCAAAGTGAAGAGATACAAATAGATATTTCATGCAAGTGGAAACCAAAAGAGAGAGCAGGGGGTAGTTACATTTATGTCAGACAAAATGGACCTTAAGTAAAAAACTTTAATGAGAGAAAAATAAGGTCATTATACAATGATAAAGAGGTCAACTCATTAAGAGTATATAACAGTTGTAAATATATATGCACCCAACATCAGAGCACATAAATATATAAGTCAAATACTAACAGATCTGAAGGAAGTAATAGCAACACTACAGTAACAGTGGGGGACTGCAGTACCCCACTTTCATCAGTGGATAGATCACCCAGACAGAATATCAATAAGGAAACATTGAACTTAAACTGTACTTTAGACCAAATGGACCTAACAGACATATACAGAATATTCCATTCAATGGCAGCAAAATATACATTCTCCAGGATAGATCATATGTAGGTCACAAAACAAGTCTTAGCAAATTTTAAGACTGAAATCATATGAAGTATCTTTTCTGACCACAATGGTACAAAACCAGAAATCAATAACAAGAGGAAAACTGGGAATTTTACAAATATGTGTAAGTTAAACAACACACTCCTGAAAACCAATGGATCAAAGATTAAAACAAAGGGAAATTTTAAAAATAATCTTGAAACAAGTGAAAATGGAAACACAACATACTGAAACTTATGTGATTCAACAAAAGCAGTTCTAAGAGGGAAGTTTATAATGATAAACATCTACATTAAGAAAAATGGTCTCACTTATATGGAATCTAAAACCAACCAATAAACAAAAAACTTCATAGACACAGAGAACAGATTGTTGGTTGTCAGATGCAGGGGATGGGGGGATGGGTGAATAGGTGAAGGTGCTCAAAAGGTAAAAATTTCCACTTATAAGATAAATGAGTCATGGGGATGTAATGTACAGCATGGCAACCATAGTTATAGTTAACATCATTATAGTGTATATTTAAAAGTTGCTGAAAGAGTAGATCTTAAAAGTTCTCATCACAAGAAAAAAAAATTGTTAACTATGTATAGTGATAGATGTTAACTAATGTGCAGAACACTTCACAACATATACAAATATCGAACCATTACATTGTACACCTGACACTATTAATGTTATATATCAATTATACCTCAATCTAAAAATTAAATTTTAAAAATAAATGTTTATTAAATGAATTTAAATAATAAATGTTCAATATACGAGTTGGGAAGATCTCCCTAACTAAACCTGGGGACCTTACAAGCCATAAGAGAAAAATAGATATATTTTAATATAGAAATTTAAATACACTTTTAAATGGCAAAATATACTATAAACAAATCAATATAAATTATATGGGAGGGAAAGATATTTATGATATAGGTGGGAGGTGAAAATAATGCCTGCATTTTACAGAGAACTTTCTCAAATTGAAAAAAAAAATTTTTTTTCAATTAAAAAAATGGGTAAAGAATTTAATTAATAAATCAAAGAAAAGCAAATACAAATGAAAATATGCGCAAACTCACTGTTGGTATATAGGAGTGAAAGTTAAAGTAACAATGAGATATCATTTTATAGAAATCACACTGGCAGAATGTGAGACCACCATTTCTTTTGGAGATAAAAGGGAGACTGCTCACAACTTGCTGGTACAAATGAAAAGTACTACAAAATACTTGGAAAGTAATCTAGCAACACATTTTAAAATTAAATTATTAATACTCTTTGATGCATCAATTCCACATCTGAAAATAATTTCTGTAGAAATAAGAGCACCAATATTTTAGGAATATGTACAATAATCACATGGCATGATTTGTGAGGGCAAAAGAACAGTTGGAAAAAGAGCTCACCAACAGGTGAATAACTGAATACATAAATGATACATCCACACTATAAAGTACTATACAGCTATTAAAAGTAACAGATTTGTAGGTATTTCCACAAGGTTTTTTGGGTAGATAGCCTGTGGGATATAAAACTGAAAGCAACAAACAAACAAGACAAACAAACAAACAAAAACTCACAGACACAGACAACAGTTTAGTGGTTATCTGAGGGTAAGGGTGAAGGGAGGTGTTAGAAGAGGGTAAAGGGGGTCAAATATATGGTGATTGAAAGAGAATTGACTTTGGCAGGTGAACACACCACAATTTATGAATGGTGTGTTATAGAATTGTACACTTTAAACCTATATAATTTTACTAACCAATGTCACTCCAATAAATTTAATTTTAAAAATTACCCCAAAAAATCCATTTAAAAAGAAATGTAGAATGCATTATCTAGGCTAATAAACTTTCAAAAAGAAAGAATAACAAAAACCGACTAGGTGTATACATGTATATGTGCCTGCAAATAAAAATGTGAAAGGAAAATCACAATAATTTTCCTATCTGATACCTGACAGAGGATGCTGATGTACCTAGACAAAAAACAGGAGGAACCAATCCAAAAAAGGTTTTTATTTTGCAGGGGGACCAATCCAAAGGTTTTAATTTTTTTTAATAAAGAAAGTTGTACTTTTAAATAGACGTTTATATTAAAGGCTTTGATGCTCATTAAAATAAAACATGTATGTGGGTATATTATAAACTTTTTTTAAATAAAGAGATTTAAAGTTTTTAAATTATGGTTAGCTTCATTGAAACAAACGTTTTCTAAATGCTTGAGTACTCACACTGTGGTTTCTTGTAAAGCTTACAAACAATAAATACTTATAAATTATTAAGAATAAAACAGAAACAAAGGATTCGTGTTATTGACAATTTATACTGGCTTTTTACTTAAGATTTCAATCTGAAAATAAACTCATATCAGTAATACCATTAAATGTCATAGCAGCTACAAACAATTAAAGAACAATCTTAAATTTTGATTCAATCATCTTAAACACAAAACTGTGAGAAAGGCTAAATCAGAAAGACAACTTTAAATACTAACTCACCTCTTTCAAAAGTTCTAAATTTGATTCTCTTTCACCTGTTCCCTCTGCAGAACTCGGACAGGGAGGGAGACTGGGGCTGAAGGCCATGAGGTCGGCCTTGGGCGGGCCCTCCCCAGAGCACACCCTCTGCCGCCTCTGCTGTGAGTACGACCAGCTCCCCACCGCGCTGGAGCACACCAGCGTGGGCTTCCCCGGCCCGCACAC